TGTTCACATAATAAACAAAACATAGTGGCACCCCCCGCTCACATCCTTCCATTTTTGGAAACTCTCCCTTATATACACTTACTTCTATATATATGAGAAGAATAACCAATCGGAAGTTCAAAATGTCCCCCTAGTGGTTTTCTCAACCTTTCTAATATATCTAGTGCCATTTCTTTCTTTTAAACCAAGATTTCAATGAGATAGGTTGTGTCTGCTCGAAATTTCATATTTTTTTTAGACCCAAATACAGCTTAGTTACTAAGTTTGATAAATTATAGTAGAATTCTATGGTATTGATTTAGTAATTTATGATTTTTTGGTTATTCAAAAGTATATATATAAAACCTAAAAAAAATATTTTGTTTCATATCCTCCATGTGCAAAATTTTTAAAGGCTTGGCAACTTACATCAAGAGGTAACCGAATTCAAAGGTCGTAACTATAAGAGATTTGTTTGCTTTACTTCTTTATTTTCTGTACTATGTTTTAGTACTTATTTCAAAATACCAATAATCTATATACATATATATATAATGTACAACAATTGAAATGTGACTGTATTTTACAAAATACTAGTCGACTAAAACACGGCCAAGACAAGTTACTTTGTACAGACCAAAGGTCACCTTTAACTTATTTGATATATTTATCATGAGTGCACGTGAACCGCGTTGTTGTAACTTCTGTATTTTTAGCTAGATACAGGTGAAAGGTTAATATAATAAAAATAATAAATATATATAAGTGTATAATGTTATGAGATTTAAGCTATTTCGTTTAAACATTTATGTTTATGTGTTATAATTTGTGTTCATTCTATAATGAAAGATGCCTAGCTTATGTTTATTTCCTAATTTTTCATGGTCGTTGCAAGATCAGTCAAATTTACTGTATTTTATCTGTTATTTTCAGTAATGAATCTCTGTACGGGTTTTAAAGTTTTTTCTTAAGAAACATTTGATAACTATTTGGACATTATAAAGATTTTGCACATGAAATTTCAAAATTTTCTGATGCACAAAAGTATTTTTTATCTTCAAATGAAAATTACTTTGCATATTGGATAGGCAACATGTGAAAAGAAAAAAAGGCATGAGAAAAACATTGCTTTACAAACCTTAAGATTTAATAAAAAAAATTTATATTTTGCATATGAAAGCATTATGATGTTTACTGATAAACTGCCAAATTTCGTCAACATTTGCTTACTAAATTAAAAGTTATAGCATGAAAATTATAACAAGCACAAAATGGTCACTAGGTCGGTCCCAGGGACCGAGCCCAGGTTGAAAGAGTTAAATAAAATGTTGAACACACTATTCTTTTTCTTTTGCAGTAACTTTAACTTTTTTGTATTTTCATAAGCTTATATTTACCTTGTCACTCTGATTCAATTATTAATGCAACCCACAACATGAAGTAAAATACTTTACTTAATAAATGCAAGTTAAATATAAACACATGTGATAACTCATATAACCTGAAAATTTAATGAAGCCTGGTTAAAAAGCTTCTTGAACTTTGTAACTAAATAAGTTATATAATAAATAATATATAATCCACATATACAACATGCAAATTATTAATGGGGAGTATAGAGAAATTTCTATGTATAGTACAGTTTACATTTTCTTTAATTTATATGTGATATTTCAAAAAGGCATAAAAGGCTGGAAAGTTATGAATTATTGAGGATGGAACTTGGTTCTTTTTTAAAGTGTTATATAATAATTTCATAAATTAACTTATGGTTCTACATTTTGAAAAATGTGTTGTGAAACATAAGAAATCTTACAACAAGAACTTTACTCACAGCTCAAAATCCTCATAAACCCAGCCAGACATACGATTTCCACTCCTGCTGACTGAAGTGTTTCATGCATAGCCATGTCAAAATCCACTCTTAACTTGTAATTCTTATTACTGATAACCTAGACAGTAAATGAATTATTATATCAAGCATAACATTTTCCATTTCTAAGTAGATTTGTTGAAAGTTTTGTAAACAAATAATATCTTTACCAACCAATGAACCTTGATACCCTTTCATGAAACATCTCTCACAGATCAGAAAGTCTTTGATGGCTGCCATTTTTAAATGTGATCCAGGGTGACATACAAAATCACTTCCTATGATTTTCTGGTATGTTCCTACCATATAGTTATTGATACAAGTGTGCATATCTAATCTTTTTCAAAAAGAATAAATAGAAGATCCATGAAAATTCACAAGAAATAACAATGTAAAAATGTTGAACATATTATTTTTGAGTAAATCCATACAGCCAATCACAAGAACTCACAAAACCCTCTGATCCTTTCATATGATCAATTCAAAAATCTTAATGCAGATACTGATTCTGAACAATCCCCCTTGCCAATTTTAATAAAAGTACATGAAACCAGTCTCAAGAGTTTCCACAATCCTTTTAAACCCAATATGGAAGCTCTGATTTTATAATTTTCAAAATCCAACTTAGATCATGCTTTTAAATGGCTTATTACATATTAATACCTATTGTTAAGTAAATTAGTTCAATTAGACACGAACCCAAAAAATCTTCTTGTTTGTTCATTTTTGAAGGCTATTTCAAAATTTGTTTGGTTATATTTTGTGAGGGTCAAGCCATTTTTTTAAAAAATTGTGCAAGAAATTTAATATTCGGGTAAATATAGCACCATACATATATAGGTTAAAGCATCTGTAGCCATTCATACCCAATCACCAAGTACTGGGCAAAGCATAACAACTCTCAATCCTATGTGGTGTGAGACAGGTGCAGCCATCTTTAAATAACATTATTTTTCTATGATCAAACTGAGAGTTGATGAAAATTAAAACATCTTCAAAACAGTCGAAGATACACACTTTCTCAATGATCCAAAAAATAGTCCTTAGTGTTTTAGTTCTCCTTTTATGAAAAGTACACTGCAACTGGTTACAGGTATTTTACACTTTAATGGTCTATAATCACTGAACAAACTAATAAAAGATATCTTCATATGATTTAAAAAGCATTTAAAAATTTTCAAAGATAATTTTTCTCCACAGTTATATGTATAACAAACATTTAATACATATAAAGCCCAAAACTGCACCACCAAACTAGATACCTGGAAAAATTCTGAACAATTAAAAGATATAGACATAAGGCACTATCCTACTGCATTCTGTCTGTTCTTGTCAGTTTTGATGAATGTTAATACCTGTATTATATACTTATTGATCAAGTACCTATAACAAAGTGTGTGAAAAAAAAAAAAAATCTGAACATTAACTACAGAATAAACTTTTGGATTGTTTGTTTTTTAAATTAAAAAAAGGAACCTACTTTAGTGGGAATGTTTGCTTTCTCAGCACGTTTCAAACCTTGAACTCCTTCCTTATTTGATAGAACCAAAACAATCTCTATACATGTGGCAGGATTTTTTGAATGGTCAATCAAAGCTTGAAGGTTGGTTCCTGATGAAAATGCCAGAAAAAATATTTAAAAAAAAAACACAAAAAGGATACAAAATAATATCTTAAAAATTTAAATTCTACTGCTTTTATAAAATAGAAAATAACACTTAGAATTGTGACATTAGATAAAAATAAATGGATTAACTCTCTCAATATAGGCTCAGACCCAGGGACAGACTATGGGACCATTTTTACATTTATATAGTTTTAATACTATAAATTTTAATACAGTGTGTGTGTATCTTCACAAACTTTGGCAGACTTTTAAGATACATTACATGTATTTTGTACACAAAAAATCAGTTTTCTTAATGAAGTATTTTTACTAAAGATTTGTCTGTGAATATATCAAGTATTTATCTTGAATAGGTCCATGTTCAAAGTGATTTTCATGTTAAGATTAAAAATACTTTTCTTCATCTCAAAAATCTCAGACTTGATTTGTGTATTCTATAAAACCTCCTAAATACATTTCAAATGTTTGTTTTCAAATAAAACTTTATATTTTATCTGTTCTTTTTTTCTACCCTAACTCTATATCAATGTTTGTCAATTTGACCGACCATGTAACCACGAAAAAAAATCTAAATAAATCTAAATTACCCCCTTTTTTTTTCTTTCTACAATGACTTCAAATTGTACCCTGAAACTACATTTGTTTATCCCAAGTAGCTTTAAACTGGTAACAGTATACATATATTTATAATTCAATTTTATTGTTTTATTGCCCTTTGAACCATGTCTAACTACTATTTGCACCATTATAAGTTGTAAATCACTTGGGGAACATGGAGGTCATGTTATTAAATTACATTACCCACAAGCTGCTCATGTGCAAGCCTCATGAAACATTTTTATTATATTATTATTACTTATTTTGCCTATTCTAACCTTAACTAACCTAAAGAGATCCCTATTTTTACATTTTAATTACTTTTAGAATAATAAATATACATGAAAAAAGTATTTACCAAAATCTTCTTTTTTCTTGCTGTTGATTGTTGATGACACTTTACCCTACTTTTTTTAAACTAATGGTAGCAATGCAATAAATAATTTTTAGTTACTTAAACAATACACCAAAGAACATAGACTAATAACATGCAAGAAGTAGACAATTTCCCCCTAACTCTCACAATTGTTCTGCCTTTCTAACTATGGGACAATAGCTGTTACAAATTCATCCAAGCTAGTTGTTATCTTTCCCATGGGAATGAAGCTTGTACTAACAGTGAAATTGACAATTTTATGTTCAAAAACAATGTTATACAATAAGTCATTTAATAGATGAAAACCCTAGCTTTCTATCAGTTATAGATAATACAGAATTAAACGTAAGAGAGAACTATTAACAAATCCTGAAAGAGGGGATGTGACAGGTGGGTGTGGCAAGAGGGTCTGTTTTTCTATTTGATAGCACTGTTACCAAACAAAATTGAAGGTTTTAAAAATTATGGTTTGTTTGAGCAATAAAAATTTTATGGTAAGTAATTTACGTTTAGTTTCATACTTATTGGAGGGGTGGTGGATAAAATAGAGAAGATGCATAGAGAAAATGTGTCATGTGTCACACTAAGGGAAATTCAGGGTTTTTTAAATATTGCCGTATAAAATTATGAACTTAAAACTTGTATGCTCTTAAAATACAGATTATTAGCTAAGATTTTATGCTATTCTATTTGGTATAACATCAACAAAAAATAGATTAATAAAGTTTTGATTATATGTCACTAAAACCTCATGATGTGCAGTTGAAAATTGACCAGTATTATATCTTATTATATCATGAAAAACTTGTGAAAATTATATTGTTTTATTATGCTATGAAATCATGATGCTACTCGACTTACCAGTTAAATTTAGCATTGAAGTTTTCTTCACCTCATAGCATTGCAGATGTCAAATAAAAAAAAATTACATTAACCTAGCTAAAATGGCAGTTCTCAGCTGTTCATAACACTATTTTTGTTATTACCTAATGTGACTTTATATGCCAAGTTATTTGTTAAGTTTTGTGATACACTAGAACTGATATAAAGATTGAGAAAACAAGTTTTCTCAAATGTAATCATGATGTTCTGTCTTTTTTTTTTTATATAGAAGCTAGAATTAATAACAAAAAGTGTACAACCTGAGCCTGAAATCAGCACTCCTACTTTTTTTCTTCTCTGTGCTACAGCACATGGTCTTAACGTCTCCGAGATATTAGTCACCTCTACAAGAGAATCCCCTGCAAGAAATAATAATAAAGCATCTTTCCTTGGTTTCCATTTGATCAAAAAGGGAAGAAAACAATTTTGTTTGAGAACTTCCAATAAAGGCTACTCAACGGGCTACCTACACATACATGTCCCTAAGATTAAACTGATAGATCAGAAAGAAGGCACCTAGTCAACAGCACCCACTACCAATTCTTGGATTAGTGTTATTTGACAGAATAGTAAGATTTGACCACCATTCTTACAATGCACCATTAACCGAAAAGTGTTGAATACCAATGTCTAGTAATCATAGATTAAAACTATTAAATTTATTTTCATACATGAATACCAAAATTTAAAAAACAGTTTGTGGATTTTATATATATAACAAAATAACAGACACTAAAATACGTCATTAAATTAAAAAAAAACAAAGTTATACGAGATATAGTAAATCATATTACTAGATGTAAGTTAAATTATAAGGAAACATCCCTGCACCTTAGATGAAAATAATCTCTAAAGAAATCCTATTATAAATATCCAAGATGTCAAAATACTACTTTTAAAATGAGAACTTACCTTCACCAACTTTCCTAACATTTCCCACTATTAAACCCTCTTCATTTCTAGCCTTTAGTAAATCTAAAACTGTTTGTACATGGTCACTCGAAACAATCAGCACCATACCCAATCCACAGTTGAAGGTTCGAAGCATTTCAATTTCTGAAACTTTCCCTGAAAATATATTTTTTTTTAAATTGTAGCTGTTGCACTGAACTTGCTAAAATTAAAAAGATACATTATTATATATACATGTCTAGGTACAACAAGAAGATGTATAAAATCTTCAACTCTTAGTGTAAACAAACATTAGAGAAAGGGAAGGAGTAAACAGCTTTAAATTAAAGAAAACTACTTACTATTGTGACAACAAAATCTCATTAACATTGGTTATGCTAGAGGTATCAAACTCTTTCAGAACTTCTTAAGGACCATAGAATGTTATTTTATATATTATATGATTAACATTTAAAACTTTAAATCAAGTAAAACAGATAATTACAAAGAAGATATTGAAAACATCAGTTACCCAAAAATACTTAATACAAATACATGTACTACACACGTTATATATAATTACTATATCAAATATACCCTAAATATATTACAAGTATCACTTTAAGCTACAAAAATATTGAAAAGTGGCTTTAAAAAAAATGATTACCCATATGTTCAAATTTCCCAAATCTACCATTTTTTTGGTATAGCAGTCACTCTCAATTTGAATACATTTTACATATAAAATTTATCAAAATGGAAGTATCAAAAATATTTTACCTACTGTTTAAATAAATTGTTCATTTAAAAATGCAACATACTTTACAGGATTGAGCTGATGTATTTGGCTATAAATAATGTAACTTAAGATTTGTTTATTGTCAGGTTAATCTGATGAAACATTGTAACAATAAATATTATACTCTGTATATCTAACAATAAACAAGTTTTATGTAACAGGGCACTTCCTTTAATTATTTAACTAAAGTAACTGTTTTACTAATACTAATTAATCAATTTTATCTAAGCAACTAATTATAAAAAAATATTACGGTATTAAACTGTCACTTTATATTTTTTTTCTGATTGAGAAGTATTAGATAAAAGAAAAAAGAACACATACAATTATTCTTTATAAGCATATTTAGAATATTCTTTAAGATATGTAATTAAGTATAATATTTCAAAACTGGTGTTGCATAAATGTGTAGTAGCATAAAATATGACTGAAGTGAACTGCTCACCTACAATGCTGCTAACTTCATCACTTATTTAATTTGTTATTCAACAGTATAATTAATAACAGTTCCTCCTTCACAAAAAACCAAACAAGAGGTTTTACCTTCTTTAATTAATTCTTAGATTGTAACAAAAACCAAGTTAATGTATAAAATATTTATAAAATTATGTAAATATCTTTCCCACCTTTATTTTTGCATAACTTGTACATTTAGTGTTAGGTAATTTATTATCGCTTACCAGTTTTTGCTATCCACTGAAAGACAGGTTGTAATTTCCATGCACTAGCATCCAGCACTACTCCAAAACCAGGTGGCAGTACCCGAGGAATATTTTCAATCAGACCACCACCAGTTATATGAGCTGCTGCTTTTACTAAGCCTTGTCTCATGACAGGAAGAAGTGGTTCAACATAAATCTTTGTTGGAGTCAGCAATGCTTCACCTATGAAATAAATTTCAATCTACATTTGCATATAAATAAATACCAAGTATAAATTGTAAATAAAAAATATTAAAAAAAAACAGTCTCAAGAACCAAAAAAAAATTCTTAGGCTTAAATTTCTTATATTCATACTATTTGGTATTTTTTCAAATCACTAGAACAGCAAGTTATAAAATTTAATAAAACTAATATTTTAAAATACAATTTATACCTAAAGAACAACTGGCATCAAATGGTGCTGCTTCTGTATAAGAAAGGTTTTCTTTCTCCACAAGTTTCCGAATCAAGCTGTAGCCATTGCTATGGATGCCAGAAGAAGTTAAACCAATAAGTACATCTCCTTCTTTCACATCATCAATCTTGGGAAGAAGTTGCTCTCTTTCAACAACCCCAACAGTAAAACCAGCAATATCATAACCACCAGTTGCATACATGCCAGGCATTTCTGCAGTTTCTCCCCCTACATTATAGGATGCAGTTTGAGACAAAAACCAAAAATAATGTGCAGTATTAAAATGTGAAAATTTATATTTAAATATATAAAATATTTAAACAATGACTATATATCATCAAAAGCATGTAATTAGCTTGTAAAATTATTATTTATTAATAAAAATACACAAGAGAAGGCACATCTTGCACATGCAAAAATGTGCACATTTTCAAATGAAATTTATAATTTGTTAATTATTTTTTAACTTATTGGAAAGGTGAAATAACTGTAATTGATAGTCTAAAGGAATTATCCATCTCACAAATATCTAGATTACACCTTACTGGACATTAAATATAAAGACACATTAAGGATACAAGAGTTACTTGTAGTTTACTAAATGGCTGCCACTCAATCCAAGTTTATACTTTGTTTCTTCTTTATACTGAGTACAAACAACTATGTACATATGAAAAAGAAAAATACAGTTGTTCATTACTACTGTAATCTATAGAAAAAATTATTTCCTAACTGTTAACAATTTTGCAACTACCGTCTTAACAGCATGATTCATAAGAATTACATTAAGTATTTGTTTAAAAGCAAAAATTCTTAAAAGTTTAATTTTGTGATTTATATTAGTATGTACTAAATAAGATGTATCCAAAAACGTTTGCCGAAATTGTATATGTATTTCATAATAAAAACATATCAGATTATTACAGTCTGTTCAAAACATTAAAAGCCATAAAAAAAAAAGCTACAAATAATTAAAAGCTATGAAGTATTATACATACCAAGAAGGGTACAGTTAGCAAGCTTGCAACCTTCCACAATACTGGCTATGACAGCTTCTGTATCTTCTGGTATCAAAACTCCACAGGAAAAATAATCAAGGAAAAATAATGGTTCTGCTCCTTGGGTAATAATGTCATTAACACACATTGCAACAAGGTCAATTCCAATTGTTTTATGGATTTTCATTAAATGGGCAATCTGAAAGATATAACTAAGCAATTATCATGACTTCCTATTAGTTTTCAAACATCTAAATTCCTTTTGTAAATTACAAAAACATAATTTAGTATTTTTTTTACACTATTTGTTGTACCTCTACACCATTTATATAAAACAAGGAGTAGATGAACCTTTCCTAGAAAATCAAAAATCCCCAGCTTGATTTTTTTGTTGGATTTTGTGCAAACCTACACAAAGACTATATACACTAGCCAAAGACTAG